AGGCAGAGAATGATTTCAAAAAATATATCCGTGATTCTCCATGGTTATTTGAATCATGTTGTCTGAACATATGTATATATATATATATTATATATATATATATCCTGTATATGTACACATGATATAATGGTCTATATACATTACAGATATAGATGTGATATATGCAAACTACACCAAACATGCTTTGAATATGGGAACACCTCATGACCTTCCGTTGTGACACCAAGAAACCTGCCCACTCCCCTTCCACCGGCAGTTGTTAATCGGTTCTTGCCCACACCCAGCCTCGAGGACAAGGTGGTGCAGTGGTGCCCCAAGGTGGAAAAAAGGGATCCAACTATCCAACCAAGAATATGCATTAACCAAGAAGAATGGAGACTCATGTTAGCTAAGTTGGTTTAGTTCAGTCATGTTCAGTCACCATCTTGGACACTTTGGCATCAGTTACATCAGTTACACAGCCTGGATCGAGGACCTGAGGATTCAGTCCGACAGTGGTACACTGCAATCATCCACAAAGTCTTAACTTAACTGGACCAAAAGGATGGAGTTGGGTATCCCAAAATAACGTCAGTGATCGACCCTCATTTTAAATGGATTGTAAATGTCTGAAATCATGGAATTCTCCCAAGCCACCTTCCTTCCGCCCAGTGACTCGGTGTGGGTGAACTTGATGCTCTTCGCGGTGTGCTCCGTGGTTTGTCTCTGGTTGGCATAGATGGTCGTCATCCTCTCGCCCGTCCAAAAAGCGCCTGTGTCGTCGTAACGCGGTGGGGCGCAATGTACGTTGCTTCAGGGATAGATACCCTCTGGTAAACTAACATAACTATGGAAAATCACCATTTTTAATGGGAAAATCCACTATAAATGGTGATTTTCCATAGTTATGTTAGTTTACCAGAGGGTAGGTGTTTGAGGGTCCCGGAATTCAGTGGATGATTGATCCAAGGGAAAATCTATAGAAGAAACCGCGGGATTTTCCTGCCGTATTTCAGGGGGTTCCGGTTTTATCCTGTTTTCATTGTCCCTTCAACATCCACCCAAGGAATCCGAGAAGCCATTTTTTCGAAAGCTATTCATCTGGGTAAACTATAATATTTCACAAACCTGAATTGTTGGGCCATTTGGGGATGATTTCCCTATAAAAACCATGATTTCCAGTGAGGGAGAACAGTGAGGTCGTTATAATTTACCCAGATTCATGATATACGATTGACTTGTTGAATGGTCAATTATAGCCTGGTGGGACGATGGGAGAAGCATGGCCATAGAAATGGCCATTGTAAATGAAGTACTCCCAGAATTCCAAAGCAACACCTGAAACGACCACTTTGCCCTCTCTTTTTTGCCCCCGGATTCTTTACTGCCAACATATAACAGAATGTCACTCTAAAGTCCCAGCCCATGGTTTAATGCCTTGATTTTCCCCATTCGAAATGGACAATACCTTTGATGATCCCGAAACAAGGCCAACAGCAATGAAAGCAAAAGTATTTCAGTGGTTCAACATGTACCTCATCTGGCCGAATTGCAATCACGAACCAATCTAAATTATCCAAATTTAAGCTTTGGATGTTTTCCAAGACAATCATCCTCGTTGACGTCGTAGTGACTTTATAGTCATTCACCTAGACTTATAGTTTGATGTTCAGTACATGGGTTGTCCGAAACAGATTATCTGATTACCCCAAAAGAATATATAGTCTGTCATCATTTCACCTATGAAAAATGCGACGAATTGGGGTACAGCCCATATTCATACCAAGCCAAATAGGGTTGTTGTGTGTTGGTGATATATCCCATTCTATCCCAAGTATGGTTGATTAAAACCCCTACCCTCTGGTAAACTAACAGTTTGCTGCTGAAAATTGCCATTTAGTTCGTTGATGTTCCCATTAAACATGGTGATTTTCCATGATTTTCTATAGTTATGTCGTCAGATTACCAGACGGCACTCAAATGCCACCATCTTGTTTCAATCCATGATAATCCAGGAGAATCTAGGCTGAGCTCTCTGTGCCTCTTGCCATGACCGTGCCAAGCAAGAGACCCAGGTCTGCGATGCCAAGAAATCTTGGAGCAGTCGGGAAGACCCGGGTCGAGATGTTTGAGCTTCACTGAGGGGTTGGGAAAATGAAGAGGTCAACAAAATCCGACTTCTTTTTTCGGTGTCCCTTTGAAGATTCTACTTTTAGGCACATTTTCTCGGAACCCCCATTTTATGTTGTGAGGCGCTTGCCCGTTGCAATTCATTATCCCGGTCATTCCCGGGACCTGCTCTGAGGTTTCATCCAAGTTGGTCAAGACTTCGATTTTGGGCCAAAAACCCAAAATCGCCCGGTGAGCGCTAGTGAACTATTCTGTGATGTTCAACTCACAATTCTTCTGTGATGTTTTGGCCCATTTTTGGTACTTTGGAAATTGCCGATTCCGAGTCGTCTGGGATTCTCATCCCTGCGGGTGAATTTAAAGAATCTATGAAACCGCCAGAACAAGTTGCGGGAAAATCCATTCAACCACTGATCACCCAAGTCTTCGAGGTCTGATTCTCGTGGATTGATCGGTTTTCTATGGTCCCTTGATGGCATTGCGAAAAACAGTTCCTGCCTGATGACTCAGGCACCCATCAAAAAGAAATATTCTACCTGATATCAGACTCATAACTATGATATCATTCCCCTGTGATCACCTTTCCGAGCGGGGAAAAGGGAAAAAAAGGAGTTCGAAACCATCAACTAACTTGGAACTTGCTTAAAACGATGGAAAATTGTGGTGAATGACTACTTACTGGCTGGATCATCTAAGTCGGTCTCTTACCCATGATCACGATGGATCAAAGCACTCTTTCTGTAACTCGGTAGTGCTTGTAAACCCACGAAAAACACAAAAACAACAGTAAAGGCTACCAACATCTGTTCTACACTCAAGAGATCCAACACCTATAACCCCTACAGCCCTTTAAAATGACCCAATGGTGCCACAATTGTGCCACAATGGGTTACAAAAACAAAGATGGACAAAGCCACAGGTCCTTCCAAGGGGCGTGTTAATTCCAGCATCTGCAAAGGCTTGACCCACCTGCGGCACTGCGGCACTGTGTTATTTGCATCAACCGCTGGGATTCTGGACCGTTTTCGCTCATGTTTTTCTCCGACATTTTTGGTGTATATATATATTATATTATTATACATATGTATATATACATATGTATATATATATATATATCGTGATTTGAAGATGATTTTTGGTTAGTTTCAATATGTTTCAATCATTTGAAGCTTCGTCCAAGGTAGACATCTCTGCCACATCGTTCCTGCCGGGATTGTGGTCGATTTCTCGTGTCAACATGAGAAGATTACCTTTCAGAAGGAGCACTAGACACTAGGAAGTTGGTAAATGATTCCTTGAACAGTTTTTTTCAACCCTGTTGTAAACTAAAAATAGATGTGGAAAATCCACCATTTCTAGATGATCTTCCTTTTAGGAAACCATTGGTTTACCCCAGGATCATCCCTACTGGGAAAATGGCTGGCTCATCTCTAACGGCCATCATGCAGATTATAGTCTCTTTGATCAATGGATATCAATGGCACACAGGAATGACCGGAGATGACTGTTTGCACAAACACGTGAATGTTTGGCATACAGTAGTTGAGTTGCTTCTATGATGTCGCCATTTCAATGGCATGTTTCATTGGATTCGACACAATGTTCCCAGAAGTGATGGGACAATCGGCTGTCAATACCATCGTAAATCCCTATATCATCCTATATCTATATTTCAGGTTTTTCCCAGCTATAAACCTCCATGTTCATTGATAGTTTCCATGAATGTTCCATGGATTTTCCATTTAGTGCGGTTTCAAAAAAGCCATCACGGTGCCCAACAGCCAAGCATCGGAACATCGGGGCGAGGAAGGCCAGATCTTCTCAAGGTGGATATCTTGGATACATTGTGTTTGAAACTATCTACTACAATAGATCAACATAGATCAACTATATATTTTTCATATGAGTTATAATATAAATCAAGATATCTTAGATTCGGGATAGCTATGATGTCTTACGTTTCGTTTAGTGCCACAAACTCACCATTCACAAACACAGCTGGACCAGCTCCCCGGCCTTGAAAAAGGCGTTGCCGCAATACTTCGCCTGGGTGATGTGCAGGCCCCACTTAGGATCAGTGGTTTACAATCCATATATAACCCAGGGGTTATATATGGCCTATAATCCTCTATGTAAGTGGGGAGATTCCATAGATACTTCAGGGTATAACCCGTCACATAAGCCATTCACAACAGTGCGATGCACCCCACTTCGTATCGCAAAGAATGAATCCATTCAATGGATTGAAAAGTGGCCCGTTGATCATAAGTCATAGTCACGAATGATGAATGATGATTTTTGACTGAGTACTGTATACATAATTTTGGAGAATGTCAGAATGTCGAAAAAAATATCCATTCATATCTCGGTGATCATTGAAAAGAGAAGGAAAATCCACTAAAAATCCCTCAGTTTCGTTTGGACATTGTGACATTTGCAAGATCCTTGGAATCTGGGCAAATCAATTCACGGGTTCCCCTGCTGAACCCTGCTGTTGGACCATTGGATGGATTGCTAGCTAGCAACGTTCGACAGGGGACCATCTGAGAAAGTTTTGATTGCAGCAATCCTATCACCCTAATATGAAATACCCCAATCAGGGTTTCCAAATAAAGAAACCTACCCTTACCCATGGTTTTGGGGGGTGGATTTGATGTTAGGAGGATGGGATCTCAATTTCCGGCTGTTCGATCATCCTCTGCTTGTCTTCTCCAGGGGCCCAGAAAAACAATCACAAAAAATGATTGAAGGAATGGTACTTTATAATACTTTATATACCTTCCGGTAACAATTAGCATAGCTACGGGTGTATGGAAAATGGCCCGTTTATAATATAGATGATTTACTCATTAAAAAATGTCAGGTTGGTGGTTTCAACCAATCTGAAAAATATCAGTCAGTTGGGATTATTCTTCCCAATATATGGAAAAATAAAATTCATGTTCCAAACCACCAATTGTCTGGTCAGCGGGAGATTTCAAAGAGTCTGGGACCCCAAAAGCATCCAAAATCCGTCATTCAAAGGGAAATCGATAGTTTTAGGGTACCCAATTTTTGAGAAACACCTAAATCATGATGGTTTATATCCCGTTACAGTATATCCTCATTATATATGTCCATTATATCCCCATTATGGTGATGTGTATCCTTCGCCCAACCCAATTCGAGAGAAACCAGGACCAAGTGCTGAAAGCACCAGAAATCGTTTCGCTTTGGATCCCAGCGTCCTATCCGTGGCCACACGAATCCTAAGTATAGGTTATATCACCGGTATTCACTGGTTATTTTTGTGGGATAAGTAGGTTAATTGTGGTTAATTTACATACAACTGGGGTTGTAACCTAGTGGATCTAAGTGGGATGAACCGCCAAGTAGTTGATGTGAAGAGCACAGTCAAGGAATACAAGTGTGAAGCGAAATGTCAGTCACAAGTTTGCAAAGGTACAGACTGAACTGGAAAAAAAAAGTCCTTTCTTTGCGGTTCCAGTAAGAAGCTAGAGTTTGATCATAGGTTTCTCCCAGCCATCTGCATTTCCGGAAATTCGCACTTGGTTGTGACGCTACTTTCCCCAACAAGATTGTTGCACACGTTCAACTTGTTGAAAGAATCAAGTAAGTATATGGAGGTTTCCATAAATGGGGATCCCCAATAGCTGGATGGCAATGGAAATTCCCAATCTCAAATGGATGATTTGGAGGTACCCCCATGACTTAGGAAACCTGCGAAGCAATATCAGCATCGTCAAATCGAATGTCTCCAAGACCGCAGGAGAGCAACCCTGTGGCTTCTCTGGTGACATGGTGCAGCTGTTCGATGGGATTCCCGTCATGGATCATGGCAATCCCCAATGTACTGGATAGCAACCCCCCCCTATGATCATCATCCAACAGGTGAAACTTTCTGGCCGTCAACTCCAACTTAAATCATCTCACGTACAACGACGAGACAACGACTCGCCAAATCTGATCTTCCCATGCTTCAACTTCCAACATCACTATAATACTTGGATTTGTCTGAAAATAGGCTATGCTGACATTGATGGTTTATGACGTTTATGACTAATTTCCCAACAAACATATATCCGAATTACCATAAATTGGGGTGTACCCGTGTACCCTACATTTTTGGACAGCCCCAATTCCCTGCATATTGAAATTGCTCCACCCCAACCCATCTCTCACCCATTCCACCCGAAGAGTCCAGTCCTGTTGTTCCAAGAGGTATTCGTCGAGGTGTTGAAGGGAATTTTCCTTGGAAGTGCAAATGATCCGACAGAAGTTGGGAAGTGATTGATAGATTGGCACGGGTCTACCCGGTCTACCCAAAAGAAATTGTCTTGGTGTATGAGTTTGATGCGTGTATATGCATGTATAATGTATTTGCAATGACAATATGCACGTCTAAGTCTAATTTACAATTGTAATATGTAGTATAGATGTGGCGATGACCGAATATATACTATAGATATAAGATTCTGACACACCAAGTAAAACCATGGTCAAAAGGTCTTGTCTTTCTGGAGGCGCAAAGGGAATGCTCACGTGGCATCTTACGCACTGCTTACGCACCCACAGTTTGAGCTTACACACAGGAATAGCTTTCGCTGATGCTCACGCGGGCTTATGCACGCCAGGGTTTTGCTTGCGCGAGGACCTTATTGCCCCCTTCCTGAAATTGAACAACTGGGTGTTGAACGTGGCTCATTGTGGTTCCGGCTTGACCCATCCCCAAAGGGGTTTTGTACAAACATATATGCAACTATAAATATATATATATATATACACATGTGTATATATATATATATATGCACATGTATATATATATATACACATGTATATATATATATATATACACATGTATATATATACATACATACATACATACATACATACATACATACATTACATTACATTACATTACATTACATTACATTACATTACATTACATTACATTACATTACATTACATTACATTACATTACATTACATTACATTACATTACATTACATACATACATACATACTATATAATTGTATATATATATATACGCTGTTATACCCAGACAATGAGAATTTGGTTTTTCTCAGTGGAATCTCCAGTGACTTCTGGTGAACTTCCCCAGGCTGCTGGTGAGATCTCCCAATGCTCCAGGGAACGAATAGTTCATGCGACTTCCATAGCCTGAGCCAAATTCCATCCATCCCTGAGGGAAACCACAAATCCAAGCGGTTTCAAACCTGAAATTAGTATGGAAACCTATGATTCGATTCATTGATATAATCAATGGCAATTGGAACCGAAAAAAATGGAGGTACCTACCATATATAAGGCCTATTTTTCAGGCCTATGTAAGGGGATATACCCTCAAAATATGGCCTTATATGGTACAGTACCTCCATTTGGAATTGCCATTGATATAATGAATATGAAATACTGAATCATGGTTTCATGGAAACTATCATATTGGGATAATTCCCCTTACGAACCATGATTCCAGTGAGGTCACAGTGAGGTCGTTCCACGATTTCCTCAGAAATATGGTGGATGGGCCCCTAAAAAGCCATGCGAAAAAAAATCCTCGCTTTCTGATTCTCGGTGCTGGCTTCACCATCCCCATATGAGAGCCCATTGGGATTGTCATCCTAGGCATGGAAAATGAAAACATATGAACACATCTTTGAAACTACCAACCAATCAACCAATCTGAATTTGCCTAGAAATGTAAGGGCCCGAAAATGAATAGATCCTTTGCTAGATCGTGTGTCTTATCGGGGGGTAACATTGACGGAAGGCTGAACCCACATCATTCGGCAGATGCTGGTATATTTACCAACAAAATCCAACAAACATAGTATTTGCTAATTGTTGTGCATATGATGATAAATATAATGTGTGTATATAATACATATATATATATATATATAGCTTGACATTTTGAAATACACTGGGGTGAGTTTGAAAATCTATAACTTGAGATGCGACATGAGCTGCAGAATTTTCAGAGAAAGATGGGTTTGTCGCAACAATTGATTCGTTCAACCGCAAATCTGCAGGATAATGCAGGATACCATGGTTTCTACCCACAATGCTGGGATATGCTCATTGTTCCTGGAGAATTTTATGGCCTGCGAAGTGTTTTTAACCCACCCTGGCTGCAAGGGACTCATGCGCAGCTTGTATTCAAAGTGTTTGTTCTTGTAGTCCCCGATCCTGAACCGCCAAAAAAAAAACACAGAAAGAAGGTGCCTCCAACACCACCTTTCAGAGACTTCCCAGGCGATTGTGGCAATCCTAAAATATAGAGGGTATAAGAAGCCCCGAACTAGACATGGAAGCAAATGATTTCCTGGTGAATCTCCCACAAATATGGGCCTGGGGTGCCTGTAATTTTTCTCCTCAACCAATCCGATTGGACATGAAGATATGATTAATGGGGATGGCAAAGAGACCATGTTTGACCACCAAAAATTGGGCTTCAAGTACGACAATACTGGTTATATGAACTATATATTTATTATCTATAGTATAATATATAAGCATGTATGAGGATGAGTTGCCACACTCATCCATTGTATGGGGATGAGTCGCTACACTCATCCATTGCGTTCTGTCGATACAAAACAGCGGAGTCTGAGTGACCAAAAACCGTGACGGTTCTATGGTAATATCGTTAAAAATTGTGAAATACCAAATATACTCGTCTGGTAATTCTCTTGTAGCTATGGAAGATTATGGAAGCATCCCAGAGTAGATCGACTCTTGAATTTCTTCGCACCCAATCAGGAAATCATCTCAGGATGAAGAGTCATACTGTCGATGGTTGCAAAATCCTGCACCAGTTGGTAGATCGGCAAAATCCTATGAAGATCCCATTCTTTACAGCGTTTCAGAGGAATCCCAATAGGAATCCCAACTGGTGCAGGATTTCGCAACCATCCACGGTATCTTTAGATACAAAAACCATGCAGATATCAGAGATGTGTTGGAAGCACAAAGATGCTTGGCGGCCGATGGCCAGATTGGTCTGCCAGACGAAGCTGGGATTTTCCGGACCGGGTCTGCCGAACCAGTTGCTGACGAAAAAGTGATCTGACTGGGATGAACCCAACTCCATAAGGGACGGAGTCTCTGGCATCTCATTTCAGCTGAGAAAAGAATGATAGTTGCCCATTATACTAACTGGGTTCACCACAGTATTACTGGCAATGTCCCGCATATTATATATATATATGTATGTTTGGTTCTCAAACCATGACTCGGTTTGTTCCATCAAAGAATGGCCGTGGGGTGCCCATCCCGCATCTTTGGACCCATTTGGACTGGGTCAATGCCAAGGAGTCCTTATTTCAATGCGCATCCCAGTTAGGAAGTAGTTTACAAGCCCTACATAACATATGTAACTGAAGATATTCCATCTTTCTCTGACTGGATTGTACTGTGTTTATTCGCCACACAAATGGGGTTCCTGGGTCCTGCACTCCGGCCACAAATTCAGAGAAGGGACATCCCAGAAGCCTCTTCCTGAGATGGGGGATGGGCCAGGCCTCCAATTCAGAAGGCTTTGTTTTGTGTTTTTTGGAGGGAGAACAAGGTTGACAAACCTCCAAAGAGTCAGGGGGAACTCCATTTGAGAGAAACAAACCACTTGATAGATATTCTATGATATTCTTATACATAAAGACATAAACGTTGTCTTTGTTGGCATGATTGGTGTACATCCAGCAGCCATGTCACCATAGCCAAAATTACAGCCATTTCAGAGTATGGATGCGGTCAGGAAGTTTCAAATTCAAGTTTAAAACTGAAGTTTCGAAACTCAAGTTTCCAAACTAAGGTGTTCCGAGGGCAGGTAAGGCTCAGGTAAGGGGTAAGTTTGCTTCCGCAACCACGGCGAAACACCGCTTTACTTGTCCTCAAAAGAGCGGAACGACGGCGGTCAGCTTCTCGAGGCACGCTCTAAGACTATTGTGATATGATTGCCAAGGATGCACGCAGAGGAGTTCTTGCGCCATTCCGAAACCGTTGTCGCTGCTGCAGCAGCCGCCTCGTAGCGGATAGTTGTGGTCGCTTGGTTGGCTTTGTGTTGCAGGTTCGAAAGCCGGCAAATGCGCTTCGGGCTTAGATGGTGCGTTGATGTGCTTCGAAGCATTCGGGCGTGGTATGGATGGACTGGCTGGATCTTGCAGAAAATGTCGCTGGTGGAAGACTTTCGTGTTATGGAAGTAGTGTTGGCATTCAATGCAGCCATGGTTACGGAACATATTTGTAAGAACGCCTTACCGTGAAACGTCTTCAAACTGCTCTGTTGACCAAAGCGATGCCGATGCACACAAGTTTCTTGGACACAACGACAACAAGGACAGCAAGGACAACAACGACAACAAGGACAACAACGACAACAGCAGCGGCCACCGCAGCAGCAACCGCAGCAGCAATAATGTTGAATCTATGAAACAAAAAAACAAGCCCGGCTAAGCCAGGAAACAATTTAGAATCTGGCTCAAAAGCAACACTTGAACAGTTCGAAAATAGTGATGTATAGTCTGTATAGTGTAGTTTTCTCTGAGGGATTCAGCAGAACTACTCCTGTTCCCAAACCCATAGGATCCATGTATGGTATATATGCTAACATTGGGGGTATATTGATGGTAAATGTTACAGCATGCATGGATCCTATGGGAAATAATACCCCTTCTTTGGGGGATCCTCTAGTCAAAATGAACACATCCGGTACCAACACCTGACTTTCCAAGGGATGACCTTTGGCCATGTGACGAAGTTTGGCCCATAGTTTTCCCACGTGACAATGTCCCCCTCCTGCGGAGCCACGGATCTGGGGGGAGCTAAGGATCCGGGAATGATGAAAAAAAAATACTACATGGGCAGCGAAGGAACCCAACCCCAAGAATCTAAATGGTAGTTAGTTGATGTTAGTTGATGCCCTTTTGGAGTCGAAAGATCTGGGGAGACACCGTGACACCATACCTAGTGGATTTGGGGATCTTGGACAAACCCGATGAAGCCATCCGCACTTCAGAGGGAAGCTCCAGGAGACCTTTCCGATAATTTCTCCCTTCGATGTTGCAAAGGTATGCAAAGGTTACCCAGATCTACAGTGCCAACCCGGTCCCAAAAAAAACAAAAACCTGGTCGATTCCATGAGTAGGGGGTAGGCCCCCCCGGGGTGATCGTCATCCCAAACTCCCAATAGGAACCCCAGAGTTGCTGCCACCAGCCAAGTCCCCAAAGGTCATCGTTCGTACTGGGGAATTCAATCTCATGAAATATCCCGGTTGCAAATGGTGGTAAGGAATTGTATATGGACTAGAATTCCTGGGATTTTAGTGAACTTTGAACTGATAGGGACTAGAAATCCAGCATGCCTCCAAGGCCATTTCAGGATCCTAGATTGGAGGTACCTAGCATATATAAGGCCTATGTAAGGCCTATGTAAGTGAATATCCCCACAAAATATGGCCTTATATGCTACAGTACCTCCAATTTAGGATCCTGAAATGACCATTGAATGCCAGTTCTTTGCATTCCCATGTCACAAGTATGGAAAATCTTCAGGATACTCAGCACATGATTTGTCTTCAACCAACTTGCCTGGGTTAACCTTATACTTTCTCCACCAACTAAGTTTAAGACATGTTAAGACACTTTTCTGTCTAATTCATTCTAATTCCCTGTCATTAAGACACCTTTGTAGGATAATTCCCTATCATAACATATAACAATCAACTTTGCTAGTATACAGTATACATATTATGTGTATAATTTTCTACCATAACCAATCAGCCAAGGTAACCTAAAACGAAACGCCCGCCTCGATGGTCATGCCGGTCTCACAGCTGGGCAATGGGACATCGTCTTCCTCCTGGGCTGCGGTGATGTCTGGTGGAGATTCAGTTGGTTTATGCTGGGAAAAGCCATGGTTTATGGTGGAGAATAATGGATAATAGTTAATAGGATGGTGGAGAATGATAATAATCAATAGATGTTAATAGATGTTAATAGATGTTAATAGATGTTAATAGATGTTAATTGATGTTAATAGATGTTAATTGATGTTAATAGATGTTAATAGATGTTAATGTTAATAGATGTTAATAGATGTTAATAGATATAGATGTTAATAGATGTTAATAGATGTTAATAGATGTTAATAGATGTTAATAGATGTTAATAGATGTTAATAGATGTTAATAGATGTTAATAGATGTTAATAGATGTTAATAGATGTTAATAGATGTTAATGTTAATAGATGTTAGTAGATGTTAATAGATGTTAATAGATGTTAATAGATGTTAATAGATGTTAATAGATGTTAATAGATGTTAATAGATGTTAATAGATGTTAATAATAGATGTTAGTAGATGTTAATAGATGTTAATAGATGTTAATAGATGTTAATAGATGTTAATAGATGTTAATAGATGTTAATAGATGTTCGGTGGGTGAAAACCATCCAACATATGGCTTCACTAATATTGGTTCACATATTGGTTCGCTTGGTTTATAACTCGGCTCGGAAGGATTCATGGTGGACATCTCGCTAGTTCCAGCCATGATGGGATGCCGGCACCATCTCCAATGATCCATGGGAGCTACGTAGTTTCTTAGTCTCAGGGGGCCCAAGATCACCTCATGGTTTTTCCCTAAAGAACAGCATTCGAAAAAACAGGGGCCAGGTAGTCGGTCTTCGTCATCGCAACGCCGTCATCGCAAAGCTGTCCGAGCTGCATATTCCTCCTCTTCGACAGCGGCCACTTCGTTGGTGAGCTGATCCGCCACCAGGTCTTGAAGTTTCTTCAGCCTGCCAGCCGTGAGATGACCAAAGAGGCGGCGTGGCTTCAGTGACAAAAATGGGTGCGGAAGTTTTGATCCCATAGATATAGACATAGATATAGATATATATAATTATATCATATTATATACATATATATATATATTATATATATATATATGATATAGAGATGAATATTTTTGGAGTGAAACTGCTAACTTGGGAGGTTCACCTACCCTCATCAAACTTAAAACATAGACATAGACACAAAAACGTGAAAGAAACGAAACGGCAGGATCTTATGGATGGGCCCAAGGAAAACCGGAAGCAGTTCGTGGATGCTCAGCCCTACAAATTTCAATAACTATATATACAGAAGTGTAGACATTGGCTCTATATACGCTAGTAGCATGGTATACGCTATTAGTAGACACGCTTACAGATATTGACATCATTGACTTAGACTTAGATTCTACACACCTCATAGCATGGTACAGCAGCCAACTCATCACCGTAAATTACATAAGACTGCACCGACTCAGGCAATATACATTGGAGGCATTGCAGTGTCACATCACATTGGATCACATTAACGGTACCCGGTACAATGCATCACAAAACACGGCTGGAACCAACAAAAGTGACGAGTCAAACGTATTCAGACGTTGCATATCCAACGGTCTTCATTTAGTCCACATAAGAAAAAATATTTAGAAAATAAAACAAAAATAAAACAAATCTCCTTCAAACAAAAAAAAGAGGCACCTACATGATTGTTTCAGATCATAATCCCATACATGAAACAGTGGATTGGTTTGAGCCAAACTTGAAACCGGCAACCCTGTATTTCTCCCAAAAAATAACATATGCCCATGGTTTCCGGTTATGTAAGATTTTCCCTTAAACCAGTCCATTGAATGAAACATGGGAATAGCATATCTGACATATCATATTGGTAAGATTGGACATATTCATATTCGAACTTTCCAGAACATCCAGGCAAAAGTTTGCCTTACCAGAGGAATCCAAAGATGCCACCAAGTGGCTGTTCTTTGTACTTCCTTGGCTCAATTGGCTGAAGCCCTAATGAAGATCTGACTCCGTCCTGGAAGGTCCTTCTATGGAATCCCCAAAACGGTGGTTTAACCAGCAAATGATTGGACTTAATGATGGTTTTATGCAGATTCACCCAAGAATAATTGATGTCACACGCCCAAAAAATGACCTTTTCATTTCAGCAGTGGCCACATCCCTCAGTAGGACACTCATCTTCCAAACGCTATTTTCCAGGTTCCATGTTAAATCTAGGATGTATCCAACAGGAAATGTTGGGAAACCCATTTTTCCAGTTTTCAGATGCGTCAGTTTCTATACATGATGGGATTGCAGAAGACATTCCTCCCAGCCTATCTAAACATATGAGCGTAGACATGGTGAATATCATGCTGTTCTTGTGACACTTTATCTCTGAAATGATCATACATGAAATATAATTCAGGTACCAATCAACCATGGCATTATCAATCATGATCCATGATATAGATGACTACAGATGATTATCCATGATAGGTTCCCATTATGATCTACGTTTGTACCCTCTGGTAAACTAACATAGCTATGGAATATCACCATTTTCAGTAGGTAAAACATAAATGGCAATTTTCCATAGTTATGTATAGTGAGGTAGTTTACCAGAGGGTAATCCATTTCATCATTGCTCCAAGCGTCTCCTTCTTGTTCTCAGGCATCCGCTCGATCAGTTGGATAATGCCAGCAAAGTAATAGCCCAGCTCCTCCTTCCTGTGGCTTGGTAGGCTTTCAAGGGGATTCCCAGTTGATGATGATGATGATGATGATGATGAGAATGATGATGATGATGATGATGGTGGTGGTGGTGGTGATGATGATCCATGATGATGAGGAGGAGGATGATGATGATGATGGTGATGATGGTGATGATGGTGATGATGACGACGACGATGATTATGATCATGATTATGATGATGCTGATGCTGATGCTGATGATGATGATGATGATGATGATGAGAATGATGATGATGATGATGATGATGATGATGATGATGATGATGATGATGATGATGATGATGATGATGATGATGATGATGATGATGATGATGATGGTGATGGTGATGGTGATGTTGATGATGGATGAGGATGGTGATGATGGTGATGGTGATGATGATGATGATGATGATGATGATGATGATGATGATGATGATTTTGAATGTGATTATGATTGTCCCTGTTAAAGATGGATGCAACATGAGTTTATGGTGTGTTTCCTTCTGTACTAGTAGCTGTAGATTCGTATCTGTACTCGGATCTTCGAAAGGCTGCAAGAATCTATCAGTCCAATGGACATATGCATCTTCAGAGCACAAAAAGTCCAAAGGTCCAAATCTTGAGTCCTATTAAGTCCACTAACATGTGAGCCCAATGAGTCAAAATGTAAGACTTACAGTATGTCCCCTCAATCTTGGACTGATGTCTTCCCATTACCTGGTGGCTCATCCCACTTAGCAAGTAGGTTCTATCCCTGCTAGGTGGGATAAGTATATCGGCTCATGGGGTTATCACCGTTTTTACTGAGGATGAACCCCAAAGGGCCCCAAGTATTGACCGAATTGATTCACCAATCGTCACCGCTTCTGCGTTTGGCTCCTGCAATTGGTGCTGAGTAGCTCCAAAACGGGTGTCATACCTGGAGCCAATGATTTTCAGGGGGGGTTGAAGGGATAGTACCATGTAATGTATGTATACTCAAAGACGTATCTGACATATCTGTGAGGTATCTGACATATCTGTGAGGTGTCATTCTGGTCTTCAAAACCTAGATCTCTCAGTGTCTCACCGTTTTCGCGACCGCATTTCCACAAAGAAACACGCGCTAGGGCAAAAAACACACCAACGAACCATCTTCCTGATGCAAAAGTCGTAGGGAATGGATGGGAATGATCCAATCCATAACCATTCACCATCGAATCATCTCGTGGCCCCCTAAGCACCAGCATTTTTTTGGACAAGAGACTGGACTCATGACCCCAGAACTTCCACTTCCCCTTCTTCCTGAGGCGAACACCGAACACCGACCCCAAAGGCCGCAGAAAGGCCACTTTCATAAGCCACTGATTGTTCTCCTATCACAAATTGCTTGATGTAGAACCCAAAAGTTGGATGTGTCCTTTAAAAATCCAGTGTTTTCAGCTTAGCTGCTCTCTTTTTCTTCAGAAAATTAGAAGAAACCCCCCAAAAAGGTGACCTCTGAGTCTTGGGTTCATGGTCAAGTCACCACTTTGGAACCATCATCGAGTTCTCCAAAAAAACTTCAGCATCCCAGGGTTCCCTTCCCAGCCATTCATCATGGCATTGGTTGAAGGCAAAATTGACCGGAAATCTCTATATTGGATGGGGAAACCCAATGTTTTCCGGTTTCGATTTTCCCTTCAACCAATCCAGTCGTCCATAACTCACGTCACGAGCTTCTTGTAACCCAGAAGTGTCCTCGGCAGAAGCACAAGCGAATGCTATCACGACTGAGTTTCAGCATGACGATATCCCTCAAACATTTATGGAGAAGGTAAGGACCCCAATAGCCACGACATGCCACAACAAATATTACAACAAAAAAACGCCGGACAGGAATCCGGCTTCAACATGAGAGCCTTGGCCCTCAAGAAAGGAACATATCAATCAGCTGGTGCTTAGTGGTTCTTACCTCATCGCAAACCTGCGGTTGTAAACTAGGTCGATTCCCAGATTCTTCCAGAAAGCAAAATCATGTCTGTGTGTGGAAAAGATATATCATGATTATGTATGACCACAACTATGTAATACTATAGCAATGTTGTAATATCAGTATGCATCTATCTTAGGCACACTTCGTAATACCATGTCCTCCATCTACATTCTGTATCATTCGGCATATATCCCCCTTGATTTATCATGATACCTGACTAATCACTAATCTCACCAATCATTACCCTGCAAAACCGATTACATTTATCCAGCTAAGCTGGACATTGTATGTTTTCTTGCTGGCATTTCAAAACCTATCACATTTAGCTGGACATTGATGACATTGTATGTTTTCTTGCTGGCATTTTCCATCATGAAACTCCCTGAAAACCCTCAGGTTTGGGGACTTCCCAGCGGCCCGCCATGTTTGAAGACACCGAAGGGTACATCATGATTTAGTTTCAACACAAATAAATATGTTCACAATCGTCATCCTATCATGAAATCTCACTATATCAACATATATCAACTATATCTCATTAAATCCATGTATATAAATCCCATGAAATACATCGAGCATCTCCACATAGTCTTCGCACTGCCCGTTGGTGGTCGATTCTGTCAAGCCCTTGGAACTGGTGGAGACCCCGGTGGTCTTCTAAGAAGCGATGATGGTTAGGGTTTTCAATGGTTACCCTAGGGTAAACATACCAGAAGTGTCAAAATATGTCGAAAACCTACAAGGAAACCTCAAAAAGGAAAATGATCTGCGAATGGTTGGTTTTCCACATCTATGTTAGTCTATACGAGGGTAAATATGGGTATGATTTTGGTGAATAAAATGTGAATAGAATGATGACGATGACAATGAAAGTGAACATGTTATCCATTCCAAAGACTCGTGAAGATTTATGACATGTTCATCTCGTTTCCAGTAGTATATGATGTATATGTATATAAGTATATGTAAGATATCATACGAGATATCTTCTGGCAAACTAACATAGCTATGGAAAATAACCATGTTTCATAGGTAATTCAACTACAAATGGCAATTTTCAATAGCTCTGTTAGTCATTACCAGAGGGTCATGACTGTCTGATATCCTCGTGGTGTTTCGTCTCTTCGTCTCATTTCCGGTAAATCATCTCGAGGGAATAATGACATAATAACCATCATCATAGTCTAATAGTAACAACATGAAACAACATGTATTATACAGACATTGTTGAATATTATTCCATGGGTCTATCATTAATAGCATTATATCATATATATATATATATTAGTATAGTATACATAATGTTATATGATGTGCTAAGTCCAGCGATAGTGATAATAGACCATCCCCAAGGGTATCATACTATGGAAAAAAAGGATTGATAAATAGGATAATTTCGTGGGATAAGAATGAACATTTAACATCATTTAACTATGCCAACTATGCTAGATATATATATATATACATATATATAACTATAGATAGTATTTAATGGAGGCACCATAAACCAACAAAGATATCTGGAGGGGTACCATACTTATAAACCAACTTACCCTCTGGTAAACTAACATAACTATGAAAAATCACCATTTTCAATGGGTATTCCCATTAAAAATGGTGATTTTCCATAGCTATGTTAAATTACCAGAGGGTATATCACTCAGATCTGGGATAACCATTGAGATCCCCCAGACGATGACGGGATGCCCAGGCTCTAGCCATCGGCACACAGAGCGACAGCCCGTGATGGCGGTGTCACCGTCTTGACAGCTGGCAAGGTCAACTTCCTGGGCCAAAAGGTGGGTTTTAGCCTGGGGAAAACAGGCGGTTTCAGCACTGAAACATGGAGAAAATGGTGGCGAAAACACGAAAAACTCACTGAAACATGGTCAAAAATCTGGAAAAACCTGGGGAAGTCAATGATTTTTTCGCGGAAAAAACTGCTGGACGCATTGGAAAACTTGGGATTTCAGCAGCTTTCAATGTGGATTTCAACAGCAAACATGGGGATTTAAATGTTAGATGTTCATCTATATAAACTAAAGAGCAAAACATGTTAAAGTTTTGGGACTTAAGATAAAACATGGATTTCAGCGAAAAAAAAATGCAGGGTCAATCAGGGTCACCCGTTTTAAGCACAAAATAGGGATACCCCCAACAAGAGAAAGTGCTTGCGGGGTTCAATCGTCTGTGGAATCACCCTCTTACAGCCTACTTTTGGTGGCACTTAGACCCCAAAGAAATTAGTCAAACAAGACTACTTAAGATCATGCAGCCAAGGGAATACCTACAATGTGTGGGGCCAAATTATGTTTGGATCATGCTACCCCTCTCACTTTTTTTTGGTCTCATAAACCACAACGAAACCAGACAAAAATATAGACTAGTTGGTGGTTGACCTACCCCTCTGACAAAATATGAGTTCGTCAGTTGGGATTATTATCCCCAAAATAGACTATTGGGAAGTTCATAATCCCAACATGGGTTATATTATCCCAACATGGAAGTTCATAATGTAAAAAACCATAGTTTCGTTATTATCCCCAAAATAGACTAAACCTATTTCGTGAAAAAAACGAAAACCCATCGTTTTTGTGGCCTCACCTTCCTCGTACATGTCGCGGAAAAACCCGTGCCTTTTTTGGTCTTTTTGATACCAGAGAGATGACCTCTGGAGCTTTCCATAGGGGATATCCCTTCCATATATGGATGGTTTATAATATTCATTTTATGGGAAATCCTATCAGAATGGATGGTTGTAACTATTTCATGGTACCCCCATGACTCAGGAAACCTCCATATATATGAGTCAACTGGATCAAACAAAAAATATCATCTGTTTTCCCCAGTTATCAGTTACACCAAGGCGCGTAGTCAGGATCTTTCTTCTTCAGAGCATCAATGACACGTTTCTTGAGATCTTTGAAGTCCTCGGCATATTTCTCATCCCTGGTCTCCTCCGGAGTCTTGTCGATGAACTTCAAAATGACCTCCAGAAAGAAGACGAACCTCGGGAACGGCCGTTTTCCGAGGCTCGGCTGGTCATTTTTTGCATGGCAAACAATGGTCGATCCCATGGGAAAATGATGTTCCACATGAAAAAATAAGGGCTATGTTGATGTAATATGATCTAATCATATGTCATATTATGTCATCCCCATGTGTTCTCCATTTTCAAACACATACATCTTTACTCCATGGGCTCAATGATCAGCTTGTTGACACCCTTGGATCACATCTCCGACTTGTCAAAACATGTCGAAACATATTACCCTCTGGCAAACGTTGACATAATGAACTGGAAAGATCCACCATGTTATAGCTGGGTAAATCCACTATTTCGACTGGGCCATTTTCAATAGCTATGTAACAAATTACCAGAAAGTATGTACGAATCACGAATCCTATCAATGTGAAGAGCCCCCAAATTGGGCCCCCATGTCTTGGATCCAATGAATTTCCAGCCGGGTTTTGTTTGGGTATTCATGGCTAGTCTCCCATCAAAAAGTATCAGTCTTTTGCTGGGCAGCCTAATATATCCACATTTTTTGCAAAAGATTCGGTTGTATTCAAGTACCCATTCAGTTGGTTGACCCTTTTCGTTTTAATGTTTAACCATGGTCAATTCCCATATATTCATCGATGAAACCACGATGAATGTTGAAGGAAAAAATCTCCAGTAAATTATCTCAAAACACCAATGGATTCATTCTGGATTAGTTTTTTCAAGTATCATCATTTTATCATACATAGCCATGGAAAATCACCATTTTGAATAGGTAAGCCATCTATAAATGGGCCATTTCCCATGGCTATGTTAAATAACCAGAGGGTATCATTTTATCAAGTATCTCCTTAGGATATTATCCCAACAAAAACACAGAAAAACATGGGGGATTATTGCTTGATCACATCCATCCAACCATCCGAAAAATGTTGACGAACAATTCAGACCATTTTTTTGATCATCCTCCAACGACGAACAATGAAAGAAACCCCGAAACGTACCGAAACGTACCGTCATTGTCCATGGTTTGCCGCAATATTCCCATGATATTATCCTTTGATTTATATATGTCTTTATTTGTTGATCTATCTTTCATATATATATTATATATATATTTTTTTCTCTATCGATTTATCTATCTATCTATCTATCTATCTATCTATCTATCTATCTATCTGACTAACTAACTTATTTATTATTCTGTGTGTGTCCCATGAATTGGCAGTATATCAATCGATCCTCTAATGTCAGCCCCCCATGAATATCCATTGATCAATTCCATAAAAAGGTTGACCCATTGTTCTGGATCAACTGTAGGATCCTAACCATCATTTTAGCTATATGAAACGTATATTCTAGTATATAACTATATAACTACAGTATACCAAAATTACGCTGGTTGACACATTTTTTGGCTATCATTATATACCCAATCCAACTCCCATACCAATCATACCAGAGATGTCGCGACGTCGCCTTGTGATTCTCCGAGAAGCTCTTCCTCCTTGCAGTTCGTCTTCAAAGTCTTCACAATGGGCTCGAGGCTCGGTTCCCTTGAGCCAAAGAACTTCTGGTAGCCCTTCGCCTTCAGCTTCCTGAGCATGGGACTGAGGTGGACTTGGAAGCACTTGTGGGTGTAGATCTTAATCTATAATCTAAAATAACATATAGTTACTCATAGCTTTATCATGCTCTGTCTATGTTCTCACCAGATCATAGTTATTTAATGTTAGTTACCTAGTCTTCGTTTACTTGTCTAATTAGATACGACCTATTCATTTAGATGTGGGGTCTCACCATCCCAATGGTGTTGGTTAGCTACCCCTTGCTGCAAAGGAGTTTTCCCTTGTTACAAGTTGGTTTACATACCCATCTACCTTATAGTTCTAATCACCGAATCACCCCGGCTGAGCTAGCTATTAAACAACTTAGCTATCATAAATGCACAGTAAATCCCCATGTTTCTTGGTTGACACATGTTGAAAACCTTGAGGATCATTGCTGAACACCATTCTTCTTGGTGAAATCCCTCTCAAAAATGGCAGCACATCTGGCGATTTTCGCACACGAAGACGAAATCGCAAACCACCCAATGACAAAGAGCAACTTAGGCCGAGCCATCCTTTACTGGTTGGTGGTTGACCTACCCCTCTGAAAAATATGAATTCGTCAGTTGGGATCATTATTCCCAATAGATTCCCAATATATGGAAAAATAATCCAAATGTTCCAAACCACCAACCAGTTTAAAACTCTCCTTTTTTCCAGCATTTTTCATCAGTTGGCATCAACAAAAATGGCTGACCTTGGATCAACTCCACCGCCGCGCCAAGTTTCTCCACAAAGTCCTCGCATTGACCGTTCTCGCTGGAAGCCGTAAGCCCCTGGAGAAAACGCAAAACCCTGGGGGATGACAAGTGATTTATGGCTTAAATGGCTTAAATGGAAGAACCAATCCCCAAACCCAGATGTCGCGAAAAAATGGGCTGGGATCCTGTTAGAGTCGAGTTGGGTAAAAATCATTAAAAATCATTAAGAATCCATGGTTCATCTTTGGGGAAGTCATGTCGAAATACTTCAAACTTTGTTGAACTCAGATGGTTTTTCCGGCGAAGCTGTGGAAGTGCTTCGCTCAGAGAGAGCCGGGCGAAGAAAACACAAGTCCAGGACATTGCAGGCACTTTGCACAAGTAGCATACTTTCAAAACAACTTGAAATTCAGAAAGGTGTAGAAAAACACTGAAAATTCGCAATATACATTATATAATATTATATATATATCAATATGTTGGATAGCACAACCAGTTAACCCCATGTAATTAATTATCAATCAACATGTGACACATTCAACACATTTTTTAATTTTAGTGGTGATTATTGATCCTTGCCGAGCATCTAAGCGGCGGCACATGGAGAGACCTACACGGCGTCCACACATGGTGGAATTACACAACCATGTTGTTCTCATTCGGATAGGGAAATGATGATAGACCATATGATTTTGGCGAACTTGTTGTATAGAAACAACATTATCTAATAAAATCCACATCTTTCTGGCTTTAACTCAAAACATGTTTAAAGTTTATACCTTGTATTGTATAAGCAAGAAGACAAATAACTAAAATCTGTTCTCAACAAAAATTGAGATACAACTTGGTGCATAACTGGTTAGGAGCCCAAAAAATGGTCATTGCTTAGGCAACAGGAAGAATGAGGATGCAACCCACACATTTTATTGCCAATACCAGTACTAAGGATGTGAAGAACACAGGAAAAGTATTGGAAAAGTCATTATATAGATGGCATATGATGCTCAAGAGATAGCGCAATTGATGGATAATATAACCTCTCAGAAAGCCGGGGGAATCCACCATCTAAAAAAAATCTTCCTTGGCAACTCTGCGCCCTGCAAGAAAGACCCAAGAGACTTTGCGAGTGTTTGCGACTGCGCCCTGAAACAATCTGGTTGGTGTTTTTAACCATCGTGAAAAATATGAGTTCGTCAATAGGAAGGATGAAAATTATCCATTATATGAAATGGAAAATAAAAGTCATGTTCCAGTCACCACCAACCAGCAATCCATAGATTTAAGGACTTTAGACTTTAGACACTTTAGACGTCCCCGATAATTCTGCACTTTGGACATCCCTTAGGTCAAACACTGCCTGCGAACGAACTTCCTGAGAAACCCAAGAAAAAACCTACCATTTAGGGATGGCTGCCATAGATGCCAGCATAGCACTTATTTATTGCGATTTTAGGGGTGGTTTCAGGGCTTAGGCTTTGATGAGTTTAATACATTATATACATGGTTTATTCAGATTAGTTCTACTCATTTCTGAGATGTTCACCAAGATTTTGACACATCCACTCCCACGTCCAAGAATCATCCACTCTCGTCCGTGTTGCCAACGGCACATGTCACTGCCTCTGGAGGTTCCTGAGCCATCCCATGCCGCTTCCAGGCTAATCCCCCGTAGAGCTGTGGTCTTTGGAATCCATTTTTTACGGCAAATTCCACTACAATTCAACGGTGAATGGAAGCAGCAAAAAAACCCTGGGGAATCTGTACTTTAGCCACCACGACTCAGCCCAATTCAACATGAAGCCTCTCTTTTGCGGCCGTGCTTCGGTGACGCCTTTAAAATCCAGGGCGGACGAACGAAAGGCAGCAACAAGTTGCAAACAGAAAATGGGAGCAGCAAAGAATTGGAGGGCCCTCATGGTAGATGGAGTTGGCAGAAAACCTGGTCAGGTCAGCCTCACTAGCTCTGAGCCCAAATTGCCAGAGTGGATTCGATTGGATTCGGAGCTCTGAGATAAGAATCACTTGCCAAGGGCACAAAATGGAAATGACTCTCTACTCGAAATGAAAGATCTTTGACTGCAAACCTAAAGAGATCAAAGATCTATACAAGGAAGCTGTACGGAAAGCAGACCTCGCCCTCCTCTTGATGTCCTATCATCTTTTGTAGGGCTTCAAACATCTGTCTATAAGCCAGACCTCTCCCCCCCGCCTGTGTTGTCCGGAACTGGGCGATCAGGCAGACAGGACATGCTGATAGATGGCAATCACATCCAACACATGTTTGCCAAGAAACCAACATATATTGTATAGCATGCATAGCTTTTAGATACACGCAACTTAGGGGGGATGTTCTAGTCTTGGTGGATCTGCCACCGACATCATCTGTCAAACACCCCAAGCCCTGGGATTCCCCCAAAGCCTGGGCACCAACAGAGCCCTCGGAAGGTCCGACTGAATTTCATCCCTTTTGGGGAAGATCTGGTACTTTATATCCCATTCTTTCAAGCAGAAAATTGCAACCCCCGGCAGCTCTTCCGAAATTTTCACCTGGCGTCGTTCAATCTATCCAATCACCAGTTTAAAAGCGGACACAGACACAGTCCACCGCGGAATTTTCGGTGGTGGTCCAGATCTATTGGGAAAAATGCCATAGCTTTACGCGCCGAACCTCAGTAGCAGGGAGGTTCAGGCGGCGATCTTGAAGCCATACCCTTTAGTCATCTTTAGTCATCAAACCTCGCATTAGAATATCATGTCCAAATTCATGGGAACTTCGCATTGTGAATTGGTTAAATCATTCATGGCATGTTTTCACCGCCGGGTAGGCAGATTCCACCGTACCAAACAACCCTCGAAGATGGTGAGCCATGTCAACCTAGGTGCAGGGCTATTTTGGCTATGTTGGGTAGGTCAACATAGCGCAACGGAACCACCATTCAATTGCCCAGAAAACATCAGAAAGCCGTGGACCGTAGCCCAATAAGTTGACCAATGTGCCGCCCATTTGGCAAGTGGCGGCGCAGCCGTGGCGCAGTACAAGTCCTGGAAGTCGATGGGATTCGCTGGACAGAAATAGACCAAGATGAGGCTAACCTATGGATGAAACATGATGTAATCAGCCAAAGTGGAGGTATACTATTCAGAGATATTCAGAGAATAGTTGGTTAAAACATATTAAAACGAACCATTCGGTTTTTCACGCCTTTCCGTATGCTTGAACTTTCCTGGCCAAGCTCTGCTCTTGGCTGACGAGCGAAGCTGTCTGTGATCTCTCAGATGTTGAAGGCCAAATCCCCTTGGATGGTCTGGTAATGAAAGCAATACGAATTGTCTGGGTCCATTCAGTCTTGACCACCACCATTATATATAATAACATGTCATCTATATATATATTCTTAATAATATTACTGTATACAAATATATAACATAATACATAATAATACATAATAATACATATACACATATAAAATCATATAAATATCAACACAGCTAACGAGCCAGTTTCCCTTGTTGCCTCTGAAACGTGCCCTCGGTCCTCCCGCTTGCCACGTTTCGAGGCCCTGCGAAAGTTTCACCCGCAGTGGTGTCGTTTACTTCTTGCCTTTTGGCATGCCTCTTTGGGGATGCATCAAACGCACGGCCACGGTGCTGGGGATGGGATATGATAGAATTCACGGGGGATTTTAAGCTGGTATTGGGGATATAATAGTTATATGTATATTATATTATATTATACTATATTATATTATATTATATATTATATATTATATATTATATATCATATATTATATATTATATATTATATATTATATATTATATATTATATATTATATATTATATTATATTGTATACTGTCATGTGATTGGGAAACTTTGATTGTAGCTCCCTGGCTTTTTTTATGGATATCGATTTAAAACATGATAAAAAATCGTGCATGAGGAAAAACTGGATCCCCATAGCTCCGAACCGCAGCAAAAAATGAAACCACCAGGAATATGTTTCTGGTGAAGTTGAAAAAAACACAAAAAAAACAGGGTATTTGGATGTATAATTGGCATTGGTTTCCGTTGTTTTCATGTACCCTCTGGTAATTTAACATAGCTATTGAAAATGGCCCAGTCGAAATAGTGGATTTTCCCATGAAAAATCGTGATTTTTTCCATAGCTATGTTAAATAACCAGAGGGTAAGCCAGACTGAAAGCCCTTGTGGATCTTTGTGGTTTCAACTCCGATGCGGGATGATCATAACATGTGGGATTGTTGCGACTTCCTGCAGCGGTGAGTTCATCACTAATTGGAATTATCCATGAATACCCCCGGGCAGGAAGGACAAACAACCATCTTGAAAAATATGAAATATGAGTTCGTCAATGGGAAGGATGACATCCCATGTATTGTGGAAAATAAAAAATGTTTGAAACCACCAACCAGCATAAGACTTGAAACCAAGCAGGATTTCCAGGAACTTTGAAGTTTGGCTCCATGGCAAGTGCACATGACCAAACCCAAAATGGGGGGGGCCGACCTATCGATGTAGACTAGCACGGCCGATCTCTGGCCACTTTCATCGAGCAATTATTCAATTGACTCGGTTGAACCAAGAGGGTCAGTGGGCAGCTCCGAAACGAGCCACAAACACCAAGAAATCTGGTGAAAATGGTACCACTTGACTTTTTGTGTGGCTTGCCTTTTGTTGGGATGATCCTTTTTTTTCATTTGTTCATCTCCTTTGGTTTTCATTTTGAGTCATCCCACGTATAACCAACACCCGGCGCCTGAGACGGGATTTAGCAGAGACCCTGGATCTTGTACTCTTCCAGAACTGCCTCGTAGCAGCGGTGCTGTCCCCCAAGTCACTCATTCTGGAAGTTCGGCTTTTTAGGAATTTTCTGGACCTCTGGTTCTGACTAACATAGCCATGGTATAGATGGCCCATTTGTAGATGGTTTACCGTTCCAAAAAATGGTGATTTTCCATGGCTATGTTAAATAACCAGAGGGTATATCCAAATGCTTATTGATTCATCCTCATGTTTGAAGTGATACATAGCAACAGCTGCGTCCCTTGTGTTCCTTCAGAAATCATTCCAAAAAAATGCACATTGTTCGACTGAGAAACGAACAAGATCACCTTCGGCCCGATTTTTTTGGGAAGTCACCCTCCTGTAAACTAACATCGATGTCAAAAACCCATCATTTGCAGATCATTTTTCAAGGGAACTTATTGGTTTCCACATCTTGTATGGTTATCGTAGGGTACTGCGTTTTCGATTTCTATGGTCCCATGGGGCCCATGGAATTGCCAAGTTGCATCCACATCTCTATTGCAGCCAATGACCACGGGGCACCTGCCAGCTGCAGCTAGCTATCACAAGTCTGCCGTAGCCCAGGACAAGCCAATGTAATGTCAAGCCAGGATTCATAAAGCCCCAGCTGATTCGGGGGTACCAACTTGAATAGTCATTTTCCACTATAAATTAATTGGGAGTCTAACCCCGACAGGCCATGACTCAGGACGCCCCATGTGGTTGGGAAACTCTAAGTAGCTCCGGCTCCATGACTTGCTTTCGGGAAAATGAATATCGCTCCCTTCACCACTAACAACCCATGAAATTCATGATCGTCAAGTTGAAGGGATCGTCAACCCAATCATAGTTAGTATCATATCAAATATCCAATATCAAATATATCAAATATATCAAATATATCATATATCAAATATCAAATATCAGATAGCATTAAATTATATTGCCCTCTGGTTATGTTCAACATAGCCATGAAATTTTAACACCATTTTTCATAGCTAAACTATGTATTTCTATGGACCATTCAATCATAATTTAAAAAAATAATGGTTCATAATAATATCACAATAGATGGTTCATGATAGTTAACCATTAAATCACCATTTTTGATAGCTAATCCCTCATGTTCACCAAGGCGTCATCTTCATCCCAGCGCTCCCAGACTTCTCATGGATCGACTCCGGCACGATGTCCAGGAGCCTCTGGATTTTGCCTTAGAGTAACCCATGGGATGATAACTAGCTTGGGACCGGGATATTTTTAATGGAGTTTAATGGGATTTAATGGGATTTGTATCGAAATAGTCACCATAAGTTAGAATATGGGTCCCCTAGAACTATTGGGACATGAAACTACTTGGGTCAATGGAACTGTACACCAAGTAGTAGATGTGAGGCTTCAGAAGCGAGTTGGTAAAGGCGGAGATGTCTCAATCACAACTCCCTGGTGCTTGGAGGTAAGGTGGAAACCACAATTGTGGCCAATCAGACCTGCTGTCAACATGCAAAATGGAAACGGTTGCACCAAACGCCTCGGTTCCATAGCACCAACTTTTGCAAGGTTGCACTGAATTGATACTGACCCTGGAACCCCATTGTTTATCATTGCCCGAACTGTCTGTATTCTGCTTTTCCATATCTTGGGATAGGTTAAAATCTTGGTACCCTTCTGATCACACAGCACAGGCTGCTCACTTCCACTTGGATAGCTAGCCTTCACCAAGATTTTGCTGAGGCAAACCCAATGCCCGAAACCATCCCCAATTGGTGTGGGCATGAAATTGGCCATGCCTGAATTTCATAGGATAATCATGATATCATGCCCCCTTTCTATGTTTGGTTTATGGCATGGGCTAAAAAAAACATTACCTGGGCAGCAACCGCGTAAAAACATCTCCTCAGTGGAATTCCACTTAGACAGGCCATGGCGTGGCTTATCCGGTTGCAAACAGGTCCAGTCATAGCCAGGTTCATTCTCATGGGTTATCCCCAATAAATTGGGTTTTGTTTAAAGTCCCAAGAAATTCACTAATCAACCCCAAGTATAATCCGTTAGTTATCCACGATATAGATGATTAGAAGATATTAGAAGTTATTATCATATGTGTTCCATCATGTTCCCATGATCGTCTATTATTTTCCCATTGTCATCTATTTTCCATAGAATCTATTATTATCTGAGGCACACCTTGACCATACAAGTAATTACCCTCTGGTAAACTAACATAACTATGGAAAATCACCATTTTTAATGGGAAAATCCACTATAAATGGCCATTTTCAATAGCTATGTTAGTTTACCATAATCGTGACCCAACATGCCACAATCCCCGACGTAAACCAAGCGCCAAGGTGCCCTTGAACATGCCACAAGAGGCGCTACCACCTGCCTGCTCCATGATGAAGGCCATGGGAAATCCCTGAGCAACAAAAAACGGGCGGCTTGACGGTTGAATGGTGATTTAATATGATTTCATGCTGTTTAAGGCATTTAACCATTAAAGTCGTTGGGGTCTTAGAATCCAAACAAAAAGGGATCTATTCTATAACCTAGAAAAAATAGGGCTTCTATATGATTTAAGCATGCTTCACCACTACATCTTCTACCGACACCTCTCCACCAGACCTCATAGAGCACTCGCAGCTTGCCGTGCTTCGACTTGGCATCTGCAGGGTAGAGGTAGATGCCACCGTAGAGGATCGTTCGGTGCACGTCCTCTGGGGAACGATAAATCGCAGTTGTCAATTGTCGGCAAGTTCTCCGGAAAATGATGATAATCATGATATAACACATGAATCATGGGGATAAATTATACTTATCATGTCAATGGCCATTTCAGGATCCTAAATTGGAGGTACCTACCATATATAAGGCCTATGTTTCAGGCCTATGTAAGGGAATATCCCAGCAAAATATGGCCTTATATGGTACATCATGGTGAATCCATCCAGTGGATTCTGGGGGACCAAGCCGGTTTCCTCGGTTCCTCAAAGTATGTAAACCCCTCCAATGACTATATTTGGTGAATTTTCATCCCCAATTGAAGTGGTGAAAATCCCATGAAATCCCATGAAATCCCATGAAAACCCATGAAACCCCATTAAACACCATTAAACCACATGAAATCCCATTAAATCCCATGTTTTGCTGATTAAATCCCATGAAGAAACCCTTCAAAAAACCATAGGAACTTCGAAAATGTTCCACCAAGTGACGGACACCATGGATCCAACGTAGCGCGCAGCGTATGGCTTGTCACTGTCCTGGATCAATCGGGGCATCGCTCAAAATCCCATGGTTTTCCCATGTGGCAATCCAACACTTCATGGTCAAACTTGCAAGTTTGTCTCATCAAATAGCAATTTGGGATAATTTGGGGACATATACATATGTGGGTATAGTATCGTTAAGAGCTTTTTGCAGTGTTTGAGAACTTATATAAATCATAGAAGTTGCGCACGTTTCATAGGAGTTGCGCACGTTCCATAGCAGTTGTGCACGTTCCATAGAAGTTGTGCACGTTTCATAGGAGTTGTGCACGTTTCACAAGCCCCCTAATAACGTTCGTATTCAACTGCTGCGGAATGGACTCAAAACCGAAGCTCTTAATGATACTATACCGTATATATATATATATACATATATATATATATATCATGTGTATATTATATATATATATATCATGTGTATATTATATATATATACACCACATGCCTGGAGAAACCAATGTCTACAGCGGATACCACAGGGTGCTTTAGAGGGTACCTACGGCATACGGCTGGAAATTTGCTTGGAGCATGTTGGAAACAGGAACCGGCATGTAACACTCGGGGGAAGCCTTGGTCTTGAAGCACAAGTGTATTTCTCTGATGTATGTATATATATAGGGTGTGTATATATATAGTGTATGTACATTTATAATATATAGTGTAATTCTAATTCTATAAAGTGTGTGTGTATACATATATATATATATTACGTTATATTATTGTTATTATTATTATATATATATGTATATATATATGTATATATATATGTATATATATATATGTATATGTATATATATGTATATATATATATATGTATATATATGTATATATATAAGTATATATAAGTATATATATAAGTATATATATAAGTATATATAAGTATATATATATAAGTATATATATATAAGTATATATATAAGTATATATATAAGTATATATATAAGTATAAGTATATAGTGTGTGTATGTGTGTATGACAAGATTGGTCAGAAAAGCTGCCCCAGGTCGGGATCATCCCGGCCTTCCACTTGGCAATGATGCTCTTGATGGCAGCATCCCAATTTCTGCTGTTGCCTGACGTCGATCTCGCGACGTCTGTTTAAACATGGGAAATCCCCGAACGAAATGGAGGTTTGATGCCATGTTTTCATATGGTTTGAATACGAAAATCGACAAACATAACTATGGAAAATCACCATTTCCAATGGGTAAATCCACTGTAAATGGTCATTTTCAATAGCTATGTTAAATTACCAGAGGGTACATGCCATGTTTGATTGCCAGACTTGCTTGCTGATGATTTCTTCATCAATCTTACGTATGTGCCCTCTGGTCACAAACTGATCAGGACATATCACGACAACTCCAGCAGAGTTTCCTGGCGTTTAAGTACACAAGAGTTGTGCAATGTCATCATCTTCGGATTCTAGTAATAATTGTTCTAGTTGCTACATGCTGGCAGTGAAGGAACCAGAAGACCATGTTCACCAAGAGTTATTGGAACTAGACAAATAAATGGAGCAAAGTCAAGAATAAGAGGGCTTTGAAGTTCAAGATGTGCAGAGTTCTTTTGTAGTTCTAGTATCCACTCCAATTGTTTGATCTTCCCTACTCGATGCTGTTCTTTGTCACTGAGTAACCCAACGATTTATATTCTAAGTGGGTATCCATCATTGATTAAAGCTCCATTTATCTTGGATCAAACTCCCCGAAAAACCCAGTGATGGCAAAAAAAACGCAAAAAAATCGGTTCAAGGGAAATGTTACAAGAACTCCTGATGTCCTGACTATTAGATTTGGTGATTAAATCCTATTAAATCCCCATTTCGAGTGGTCAAATCACATTGTTTGATCATTTTTGCTGGTTATATAAATCCCCGAAGCCCCAGCTTGCCAGCTGTCATTGGCACATCCTTTCAGTGACGAAATCTCCGGCTATGCCGTGAACACGGCGCGCCTTCGTTGCAGCTATAGATCTTCTTACCGCCACCTTCTGGCAGCTTCACACGTGCCTGCGGACTCACCGGAATCCGTGGAATCCCGGAAATGGCGATGGGTCAGTTCACCCTGAGTTTTCCCAGGAAATATTACAAGATTTCATAGCTATTCTTAGCTGGTAGATAGGTCAAATACGACATGTATATATATAGTATATTATAGTATATATATATATATAGTATATTATATTCATGCCAGTTCATCCCGTCAAATTTATGATCATGAGTTTTCACCCATTCAGAACAGTTCATTTCACGACGGTCATCCCTAAAGATCATCAACTTCACGAGAGGCATCATAGGTAGCCATGGAAAGTGGCCATGGAAATAGGTCAATTACCATCAATGATCCACATCTGTGGCCTGCAAAATTGGAATTTTCCGTGGCTATGTTAAAGTTACCTCAAGGTATAGAATATGATTAGGATGCATCCAACTCCACGCATTGACAACGATTGATGATGAAGGAATGGTGGAGATGAGGCAGTTCAAATCCCAAACAGATTAACACCTGTGTTAAAAAAAAATGTGTTGGCGATCCACTCCAAATCGGCCAACACTCCTTAAGGGAGTTGCTGACCACGCTCTCATGTATATATAGCCTCGTCCCTGCTCTTGGAACCGCGCAAACCTGAATTAGGTTTGTAAAACTTGTCAATTCCGTGACAAAATTTCGTCGCGGAATTGACAAGTTTCATTAGGGTCACCATCATCATCATCACCACCATCATCATCATCATCATCATCATTCTACACATATGTAAGTTCAAATATATAAATATAAATATATTTAATTATATATATATATTGAAAAATGATGAATATATATATATATATAATTATATATATATATATATAAAAATAGATATAGATATCTAAAGAATTCTGTAGATATATTCATATATATATATTGTCCCAGTCCTCGTGAGCGTAACATCAACTGCTTCTGCAAGTTCACATGAACGTTAACATCCCACCCCATCCCCCCCCACCACACCCCGCGTGTGCGTAGCATCAACTGCTTCTGCAAGTTCACATCAACGTTAACATCCCACCCCACCCCCCCCCCCCACCGCGCGTGTGCGTAGCACCAACTGCTTCTGCAAGTTCACAGAACGTTAAACATCCCACCCCATCCCCCCCAACCCCATCCACACCAGCCAACTGCTTCGCAAGTTCACACAACATCCACCCCATCCCCCCCCCCCCACCCCACCCCGCGTGTGCGGAGCATCAACTGCTTCTGCAAGTTCACACATGAACGTTTAACATCCTACCCCATCCCCCCCCACCCCACCCCGCGTGTGCGTAGCATCAATGCTTCTGCAAGTTCACATGAACGTTAACATCCCACCCCACCCCCCCACCCCCATCGTGTGGCTAGCATCAAACTGCCTCTGCAAGTTCACATGAACGTTAACATCCCACCCCACCCCCCCACCCCATCGTATGTGGTTCCAGGACCTGGGACTAGCCTATATATACTAGTATACACTAAATGGGACATCCAGGTAGAAGTAGCTGCGGAAGCTGGGGACAGGCTGTGCCATGGCTGTTTCAACAGTGAAAAATCGTTGGAAGTCTGACGGAGTCACCTGTGTGATGGTCAACATGCTGGGGTATGGACATGCCACCATCATGCCTTATATAATGGTTATACCTTATAGCAATGGTATAATCATGAACCTCACCATAGGTATAATCATGAGATTCTTTCTAGTGATTATAGCCTTATAGCTTAATCCTTATGATTTTTTCTTCGGCATGACCATCCCCTTCCAAGGCAAAAATCCACCAGGATTTTACCATGTCACTTGCCCATGATACCATGAGATACCATGAGATACCATGGCACACTTGGAGACTTGGGAGACTTAACGCTTCCCGCCTGGATGTGTACGAACTCCCCCAGAGACGGGTCCAGGGTAAATCGATGCACTCCGTGACCTGGTCGAGACGTGAATTTTCACAACGGCTTCCACCATGGGGACATTTGGAAAAACTACTACCCATCGTACCCCAAAAAAGGCCAGGCCTTTTTGGCATTGGGGAAAAACACAAAATTTATCAAAATTTCCCCCATGGCGAATCTTAGATACCAAAAACTATCGAGTCCCGAAAAAGTAGCTCTTCCTAAAAAGCTGGGTATAGATGATCAGATTTCATGGCGATCCAAGGCTTCCACTTACGGTAAGAAAAAAGGTCAGGATTCCCCCCAAAAGTGCCATGGCCAACTGCCAACAATCGCCACTGGAAACTGCGGTTTTCACGGGTCCTCAGTCTTGACGCATATGCCCATAAGACATATGATACATCTGAACAAAATCTATCAAAATCAACATTTTTCTGGAATCATATCCCCGAAATATATCCTGAGAGCTATCCCGCATCAAATTTCAGGTGATCCCAGTGATCGCCCTGTCGCCCCTGTCGCGAGAGTGTACCGCCTTTGAAGGTGATGACCAACTCGGTGGCAGCGCCATACATGCAGTAGCCGGCCACCGTGATGTCGTTGCCCGTGCGCAGGATGTCGTTCACCTCAGCTGTTTTGTGCGGTGCGACGACTGGAGGATTTGGGTTTGAAGCGGGGGAAAGAAAAGACGTGGGAATTGGATGGAATTCGAAGGTTGGAAAAACTCGAACGTTTCGGCAGATGGTGCAAATTTAAGGAGGGAATAGATCACGACTTGAGGATACATTCTGAAGGATTGTCCATCATTATTCCCCATTAAACTTAACCATCATTCTTGTTGGTTAAATCACCATGTTAAGTCACCAGAAATACTTCAAAGTGGTTCTGGTTTGCGAAAAAGCGACAACAGGTCGAAGGTGGACACCATAGCGGAATGGTGGCGCGCTGGAACTCCCGAGGTACACAGAACAAAGTTGATCCAAAAGGGGTGATGTTTATGGTATGTAGCAATCCCGAGTACCCTCTGGTAATTTAACATAGCTATTGAAAATGGCTATTTATAGTGGATTTACCCATTAAAAATGGTGATTTTCCATAGTTATGTTAGTTTACCAGAGGGTATATAGGAGGTGTCCTAAGTCATGGGGTCACCCCCAAATCGTCCAAGTCATGGATGACCATGTGAGTATTGAAAGCCACGGTGACGACTGGGGATCCCCCATGACTTAAGAAACCCCCTAAGATACACATGTACATGTCTTCATGGCTCTTTGCCACACCCAGCAATACATATCCCCAGCCAAGGGGCGGTTGCAGGGCCCGAGTGTTGCTTCTCGTAGACTGCAAAGATGGTGCCTGCCACGTGCGGGTCGCAACATGGGCCAAAATGGGGAGGTTCAGGTCGCGCATATCCTCCAATGAATAAACAAAACAATATGGAAAACACCCCTGCTGTTCCAAGCAAATGATCTTTAAATGGTTGGTTTTCCATATCATGGTGTTGATCTTGGTGTTCATTTACTGGAGTTAGTATGTGTGACTCAGCCAATCTCCACTTCTGACCCACATGCTAGACACCGCAAGAAAAAATGCGTACCAGCCACATAGTTTTGATTTCAGACACAAATACACTTTCACTCTCACATCTTCGTTTGTTGTCTATCTATGGTATATTTAAACACTTGAAAGGAAAAGTTGGAACACATAGAATGTGTATTATATACATATCCATATCATATACTACTATTATATAATATGCATACATATCGCACGTAATTACCAGTAGTACCGCACAAGGCGGTGGCGGAAGTTTCAAAAATAGGAAACTTATAGGAGAGATTGGTTGTTGTGAATCAAGGATGGCAGAGCGAATTCACTGATGGACCGAAAGGTGCTTGAGGTCTCCTCTCTTTCTCTCTCTTGCTCTGACTATCTACCTACCTACCTGTCTATCTTCTATGTATCTATCTATCTATCTATCTGTCTATCTGTCCGTCTGTCTGTCTATCTGTCTATCTGTCTATCTGTCTATCTGTCTATCTGTCTATCTGTCTATCTGTCTATCTGTCTATCTGTCTATCTGTCTGTCTGTCTGTCTATCTCTCTCTCTCTTCCTTTCATCTGGCTCTGTGTCCAGCTGTCTACCAGTCTATCTGTCTATCTATCTATCTGTCTATCTGTCTACCTGTCTATCTGTGGTGCAATGTCATTCAGTGTAATGCAGTGTAGTGTAATGTAGTGTAGTGAAGTGGAGTGTAGTGGAATGTAGTGTAGTGTAGTGGAGTGTAGTGGAATGTAGTGTAGTGTAGTGTAATGTTGTGTAGTGTAGTGTAATTTCGTGTAGTGGAGTGTAGTGGAGTGTAGTTCTGTAGTTGTAGTTGTAGTTGTAGTTGTAGATGTAGTGTAATGTAATGTAGTGAAGTGTAGTGGAAGGTAGTGTAGTGCAGTGCACTGTAGTGAAGTGGAGTGCAGTGTAGTGTCATGTAGTGTAGTGTAATTTAGTGGAGTGTAGTTGTGTAGTTGTGTAGTTTTAGTTGTAGTGTTGTGGAGTGTAGTGTAGTGGAGTGTAGTGGAATGTAGTGTTTTGTAGTGGAGTGTAGTGGAATGTAGCGTAGTGGAATGTAGTTGTGTAGTTGTGTCGTTGTGTAGTTGTATTTGTAGTGTAGTGGAGTGTAGTGTAGTGTAATGTAGTGAAGTGTGGTGGAAGGCAGTGTAGTGTAGTGTAGTGTAATGTAGTGTAATGTAGTGTAGTGTAGTGTAGCGGAGTGTAGTGTAGTGTAGTGAAGCGAAGCGACATCTGAACCTCCAAAAGTGGTCCGAAACCCTGGTGTTTTTAACATTTTGACTACGAAATGTACTTCGCTTCACAACGGCGTGCACTTTTTCGACATCTGAACCTCCAAAAGTGGTCCGAGCATGGTGTGTTTTGTACATTTTGACTTGGAAATGTGCTTCGCGCCACAACGGCGTGCACTTTTTCGACATCGCAACTTCCAAAAGTCGTCCGACACTGAGGTGTTTTGTACCTTTTGACTTCAAAATGTGCTTCGCGCCACAACGGCGTACACTTTTTCGACATCTCAACTTCCAAAAGTGGTCCGAGAATGGTGTGTTTTGTACATTTTGACTTGGAAATGTGCTTCGCGCCACAACGGCGTGCACTTTTTCGACATCTCAACTTGCAAAAGTGGTCCGAGACCGCCAGTCTTTAATACTTTTGACTTCGAAATGTGCTTCGCGCCACAACGGCGTGCAACTTTTCATCTCTCATCTGGCCAGCTGGCTCCGCACCCGCCGCTTTAGCGAGCCTACTTTTCGACCCTCCGGAGCCACAAATCATTGGAAAAACACAGTGTTTCGCGACTTTCCTACCTTTTCGCGCATCTGTATCTTCTGTCCTCTTACTCTTTCTCTTCTGATCTTCTCTCTTCTAATCTTTCTCTTCTCTCTGCCTCTTCCCTGCTCTGCTTTTCATATGTCCATATTGTCGGAAGTTTGACTTCTAAACTTCCTTCGATAATTCTACATATAAAACTATAATATATATATATATATGAATAATACATCTATTAATGACCATAAACTATGTATATATATATATATGGTGATCACTATTGTTGCATAAATAGGTGATTACTGTTGTTCATAGATAATAAGGTAATCAAACGTGGCAATTGAAAATCCTAGATAAAACGTGCGTTTTGTTGGAGAAATATGGAGAAATCATCTATAAATAGGTTCTCTTCCATTGCTATGTTGGACCAGTAGAGAAATCATCCAATGACCAGCACTTGGAGGCCCATCCAACTTAGATCAACTCCTCCAATGATAGTAGGGTGATCCTCCAATCCACCGAAAAAAAATGGTATATAAATTACTATTGTTACTGAAATATGCTTATGATTCATAAATAGGTAGAGAATACTTCTATATCTGATCCTTATTCTTACAGAAATCACTAGAGAAATCCATAATCCCATGACCCAACTACGCCCCTTTCATAAAAACGACGTGACACGCGACACGCGACGCGCCTGTACTAACGTTGCAGTCGATATTGCTGCTGCCATCTAGGGGATCGAATGCGACCACGAAGCGGCCAGCCTTCTCCTGAATGGAGGGATCGGTTGGATGTGACATGGGTTTAGATACATATACAATGGTGCTGTATGTGTATATATATATATATGCATGGAAAAATTGGCAATACTTCACTAAACTGAAACTTTTTGCCATTGTGGGATAGTTCACATATATATATATATATTATAAACTCGATATTCTGGCTGAATTACAATATGTCGTTACCCTGAAAATAGCTGAATTTGTGGCGATTTGCGGATGATTCCCCGCAATCTAAGCACTATTCCAGTGATGTCGCAGTGAGGTCATTATCATTCATCCATATATATATATACGCATAAAATGGTGGTATGATATCTGTGGAAATCAATGGTGGTATAGTGGTTGATATTGATATATGGAAATCAATGGGAAATCCTTTTGTAGGATATACAATATGGAAATTGCAGTAGTCATGGTAAATATTATATATATAATATTATATATATATAAAACAATGGGACATCCGTCTGTTTGATATAATGCCAACTCAGGCAAAAACCCAAAGGTCTGATGAACTGAGGAAAAGCCCAAAGGTGACAGACAATACTAAAAAATGGTGCTCCATAATCCTCATATCATATCATATCATATCATATCATATCTGGCTGGTGGTTTCAACCCCTCTGATAAATATTAGTCAGTTGGGGTTACTATTCCCAATATATGGAAAGTCATAAAAGCCATGTTCCAAACCACCAACCAGATATAATATTATATCATATCTAGTTATCCCATTTGATCACTGTGTCTTGAAACTTATGAAATAAGCCTGTCAAAGAATTTCTACAACCCATGTGTAATCCCCTATATCTACGACATGCGGCGTTCTCCAAAATTCGTGTACCCCAAATTTCATGCTTATATCATGTCGCTTACCATGTTTCCCCACAAGTTGACAATAAAATTGCCGGAAATGTTACTATTTCATGGTTTTTCTCCACCATTTGGATGGCCATAGAGGCTATAGCCCCAGCACCCCTCGCCTGGGGCACGAAGATGGGATCCTGCGAGATGCTACTGGTCACTGGTTTCGTGTGCGATGAATCAGATATGGGGATGGGTCAAAACCCTATCCCCCTGTAGTTCACATCAAAATAGCTGGGATTTATGGATGTTCATCCACCTAAAAATGGTATGTATAGGTATTGATCCATAGCCATATTAATGTTATTAATCTGTGATATTGCCTGCATCCTCTAACATCCACTGCACTTGCGAGGCGGTGATTTGTCTCCACCCCACCCCCTTTCTGTGAACCCCTCTTTTCAGACCAACCAACCAATGGTAAAAGGACATCTATGGAACTGGTTAGCAACTGGGGTTACAACTCATACACCAATTAGACATAGTTATAACCCAGTTGGGCTAACCCTATTGATATTAGAGGTAACATCAGTTGGGCTAACACAGTTATTAGATAACATCTGTTATAACCCTATAACCCATGTGCTTTTTGTACAGACACTGACAGGATCACCAGGTCACCAGCGCTAGATACACGAAACGGATGAGATCGGGGCCTCGTTTTCTTCAGAGACAAGCACTGCACATGCACCGCAGTTGGTCAGGGCATCGATGAAAATCTCATTGGACAACACCTCGTTTCCGCGAAACGGACGGATTTTTGGGGTGCCGCATTGGACCACCATTTGGTGGTCCGTTTCTCATTGGCATACTTGGTCACCTTTACATCTGCCACATTTCATGGTGATGAAAAAATGAGTTCTAGCCCATGCCCACATCTGGGAATTTGGGGCGGCATATGCCCGAAACGCTACTTACTCTTGAGATCTCTTGAGGGATTAGGCTTGGGAGAATTCCTGTACATCTACCTTGATTGTTCACAAAGAACAGTATCTAGAAGCGGAACATCGGCTCTTCTCGCCACTTCCACCGTCTTTTTCCAGAGAGTCTACAGTATAATACCTATTTAGCTGCTTGGCTTACCTTGGCTTTGGCTTGTCGGCCCTGGACAAGCCAAATGTCCCGCTGGCTGTGCCGACCCCCGACATATTTGTCGATTCATGTGGATTCACCAGATAGATACTGTCGATTAGATTAGATTCGATTTATATAGATTGAGGTTCCGACTCAGATTCAGCTTCTCATTCAGATTGATTTGATTTGACTAGATTCAATTGGATTAGAGATAGACACACATACACATCGTTTTCCAAGAGTATGATTAGGTGCTGGAGCTGTGAAATTGAAATGTTGTCTGCCACTATAGGCCAGATAATCTAAGTCTTAGATCATGAAGGACCGCCAAACGGACTGAAAGAACATCATTGAAACCACCAATGGATGTACATGTACATGACCATAGGGTTCGGGTCCAGCGCGCCCCAGAGAGCTGTCAAGTTTGCCTGTGATGGTTGAGAGAACCCTCAATGAACCAAAAAAGAATGCCATCTGATGCCATATGAGGTAAGGGTTTCCGGCACTAGAACTCCCTGATCATGGCTGTGTCATGAAAGGACCCCCCACCGCAATCTGTTTCAATCCTGACCTGCGAGTTGTCAAAAAACTCGGAACCGTATGCCATGGTTTATCACCCTTTTCCCCTGTAAAATTGCCGCGCTGGGGAGTGTACTAACCATGTTCAAACATTCAAACACATCAAATATATATATATGTATATATATATGTATATATATATGTATGTGTATATATATATATGTATGTGTATATATATATGTATGTGTATATGTATGTGTCTATATATATATTATATGTATATATATATATATATGTATATATATATGTATATATATGTATATATATATATATGTATATATATATATATTTGTGATGGTTATATATGGTTACATATGTATGTATATATATATATTTATATGCTTATATATATATTGATTAATGGTTTTATATATAATTATATATGTATTGATTGACGGTGATATAAAGTAATATATACACACCATTTTATCCCATTAGATGTGGAATGTCCGTTGGGCTGTCCCCATGAACAAAGCCACCCCCATTCGCTGCCAGGGCACATCCAGCTTTTTCTGGTCATCACCTGCCGAAGCCCAGTGAGGCAAGCTAGTGGAAGTCCATGTAATATAAAATGTGTATGTATATATATATACATATATATATAACTATATATGTAATTATAAATATATGCAAATATCGAGATGCATCATGGTCAGTGTATATGATTTCTATAATTTACCAGCGGCACTAGAAGCCTCTATGCTAACTATACACGGTCTATCCTTAGTGACCTGACAGGGGTGACCTGACCGCTGCAGAATCGGGTACCTCGAATCGTCCACGACGGTTGATGTCTGCATTCTGACCGGTGCAAAATTGAGCCATTTTGGAGATGGTTTATATACAACCCATAAAAATGGTGATTTAGGAGATGGTTTAACTGGTTTATGATTGTTTTAACCACAAAAAAAAACAGATTCAAACACAGCTATAACTTTGGATCTAAAAAAGGCACAAAAAAAGTGTGGCTTCTACAACTTCTATGCACTGAATCCCAGGATTCCGTGGTTACGTCAGCTGCGAACCGCCTTCGTTGGGCACAGCAGATTGATATAGATTGATGGTCTAAACCCTACCTTGCTGCAGTGATTTGCAAATAGTTGACGTTTGAAACTTGAATGGTTTGTTTGGTGTCTTAAAGTACCAGTGCAAACCAATTGAACCCTCCAGTTTGTCAATGATAAACCGCAAATTGAGGGTGGTTTACAAGCTGGGCCCCCAATTGTGTTTCTTGCTTTATAACCCCATGAATTCCCCACAGAAAAGAAGAAATACCATAATGTGGCTAAAACAATAATAAACCATCCCTCAAATCACCATAAATAGTTTTACCCCAAATTCCAAGGTTTTGTTATACTAATCGTGACTAGTGAACTCAACCAACTTCGCCAATGGACTATGAACTCAAGTGAATACTAAAATGGGTAGTGAATACTCAAAGTCACTAATACTCATGTGATACATAGTGACTATAGTGAACTGTTGTGAACTAAAGGACATACTGTTATACTAGTGAAGTATAGTGAACTAGTGTAAAAACAAGTGATACTAACCTTTTTCGAACAAACAATACTAAATTAGTATGCAAAAACTATTATTTCAGTACGTAAAAACTATTTCACAGTATGTACTTCCAAGATTATTCCATGTTACATACTGTGTTAACATTCATGTTAACTAATCATTTGGAATGTTCTTAAAACCTTGGATAAACTATGTTAACTAATTAACTAAACATCTTAAAACATCTTGGATTAACCTTGGATTAACTATGTAAAAACTAGTTAACTCATGTTCTTCCAAGGTTTCCATCGGCCTGTGGAGTTCACCTCCCCGGCCAAGCCAAAGAGCATGGCGATGCCGGCCTGGCGATCGTGCAGAAACATCGGGAGATGGGAAAAAAGGCTGGGAAAAGGTGGGAAAATCCGGAGAACATGTGGAAAAATCTGGGGAAAAGATTGGAACATGTGTTCGGAAAACCTGAAACTTTGAGTTGCTCTGGAAATCTTGGGAAAATCGTATGGTAAACTGTTCGAAAAAGCCAAGCTCTCTTGGTTTTTGCACTATATCAGAATAATTAGTCTGGTGCAGAACTGGACTAGTGGATGGCTGGTTGATTTGGGAGTCAAAACAATCTGAAAACCCATGCTGTTCTCCCGTTTCGAACCATTCCCAAAGCACATTCGAAACATTTGGAAGACCCTTTTTCACAAAAAAAACATTCGATCCACTCTAAACTCTGAATCTCTCAACCTCCTCCCCTTACCCTTCCCTTCTCCCCCCAAAGAAAAAGTCAGAACCATTGAGACTTTTCCAGCTGATGTGCTCCCCACCTTGTTGCAAGCTCTGGAGGTGGCCTTGCAGGCCAGTTGAAGCGCCATCAGCAGAATGGCCAGCTCCTAGAGGGCTGAACAGAGGAAATTCCACGTGTTTTCAGGGCAAAAAATGAGGAACATGTGAACAACTGAGAAAATAAGTTGATTCTAGAAGGATCTAAAAATCTAGATAGTTGCTTTAGACAATCAACAAAAATGACAAACATGAAAATGCAATCAGCAAACATCTGACGGTTTGAATTACACATGAGGGACTTCATCAACTACTGCAAGCGTGGAGATTCAGCCGACAACAAGCGGGATTGAACAGTAAGCATCAAGACTCTGACGAATTTTGATTGAAGCATCATCAACACATCTGCGATTTCACATATTTCACTGGTTGTGTATAGCCTGTATAGCTACCATGGCAAGCTAAGTTGAAGGATTCCCCGTCAATATGGTTGGGTCAAATTACCAGAGGGCAACCCCTGCGGCAAGTGCCACTCGACCACGGGCGGTAAGATCAGTGCCAAAATGATGTTTTTACGTGTGCAGTGTCGGAACATATTATAGGATATTATAGGTGTGATATTTGATGTGTGTGAGGGTCAGGGTATGTCCGAAATGCATGTAAAAAGTACATACTACGTCTCAAGGTATGCAAGTGCTGCAGGAAAAACATGGCAAAACGCTACGGTTCCCAATGATGGAAACTAATCCGCACAATTTACAGTGACACTGGTTTTCCAAGAGTGTTCCTGTCACCTTTCAAGTTGGTCTAGAAAGTGGGGGCATGTTCGATGCATCACGTCCCACAATGCCAAGGGTATCAATCTGTGCCGTCCAAAGTGGCGCATACTCGCTCCTTGTCTCCCGTCTTTCCCATGATGTACCTGCACGTTGCAAAAGCTCAAGCGGAGGCAACGTTGCGCCACTGACATTTGATATTTGTTGGAACACTTCATGTTTTGGGCACAAAGGACCCATCGACAGCATTTAAAATTGGGCCCCCTACACAAAAGGAACAAATATGTTAGTTGGAGAGAATGAGTATTAGAAAAGGCAACCCCCAGAATGGCCCCAGAACAATAGACTTCTCACTATTTTCCATCTATTTTAGTAGGGCTCAAGATCAGCAGAGCTGGGAGCTGCTAATCTTCGGTGTCCAAACGACACAAAGTGCTGTGTCCATCCACTAGACTCAGACGCTTTTACCTGTATGGCACGTTCGCCCGTAGATTGAATATGGAACCTGAAAAATGACAACTGGAAGATTATTGATTATTGCGAGTGATCCAGTGGATTTGGCTATTTTTGGAGGTCCAAATGAAATTGAGGGGTAAATCCCTATCAGACCATCATTCAGTCCCCCACTTTTTCGATACCAACCACCCACCAGTCCACCAACCATTCACCAACCATTCACCAGCCAGGCATTTCACGCTGCTGCCGGCCTGTTGAGGGTTGGGAATTGGCTCACACTCACACTGTCAGAGGCGGAGGTGATGGGCTCATTCTCCCTGGCCGGGTCCGCCAGTCCCGGACCATGATGGCATGTAAAGTTTCATCGTTGTTTTTTTTGGAAGATCTGGGCAGCGAATATTGGAAGCTTCCAATGAAATCAAAGCCCACATGATATATATGTCAAAAGTCACCGTGGCTATAGATATATCATAATATGTATGCATATATATATATAATTATAATTATATATATATAGCCCAACTTCAAGAAATGCCAGCTATCTTAGTATTGTAATATATGGTCATGATATTGATCTTACCATAATACAACATTAGTTTTGTAGGGATTAATAGGGATTTCATGATTTCATGGGTTCCTATATATTCCTATATAATCCCTATATAATCCCTATATAATCCCTATATAATCCCTATATAATCCCTATATAATCCCTATATAATCCCTATATAATCCCTATATAATCCCTATATATCCCTATTAATCCCTATTAATCCCTATCTCACCATAATAGATGTCACCTTTCTTTTCGGGGCTTTCTCAGTAACCCTGTAACCGGTTCCACCGCGCCTGGAAATCACCGAGGTTCCACAGTAGCCGGCCATGGGCCACCTGACATTCTTGTCGATGCCATATATCAATGGGAATTTCAGGATCCTAAATTGGAGGTACCTACCATATATAAGGCCTATGTAAGGCCTATGTAAGGGAATATCCCCACAAAATATGGCCTTATATGGTACAGTACCTCCAATTTAGGATCCTGAAATGGCCATTGAATATACTATTACTATTGAAACTATATTACTATATATTACTATAGTTAATAGTATATGGTATATTTTCTATATTACTATTACTATATTCATTATATTACTATGTTTTTTTTATATTACTATATATTGTATATTACTATCCAGAAATCTTATTACTATATATTCCTAGTGATAACCACATGCTTTTTATCGATACATATAATATAGTAGTAGTATTCTCATTGCTATATTACTATTAAAACATATCAAAACTATTGTCCTTATTATCACAATTGTTATTCAGTATAGATATGGTATTGTCGCTATTCATTCTTGTCACTGCAGTTGTTGTTGTCGTTACAACTACTATCGTCATTGTTGTCATTATGTTATTAATTAGCATATTATATGTAAATATTCAGAGCTACCACATCAGAAACTATATTTCTGTTCGGTGGCACTCTTGACCACTGCCTCAAGATGACATCATCGCCCAGTTCTTTGGTGGTTTCAAGCCTCCTGAAACATATATCATAGTTCCAAAAACTATTCTTCGAAACATGAACACATATATAATATGTAGATTATATTCGAAACCACCTACCAGATCATAGTCATACCCGTCATACCCGTCATACCCCCTTTGTTGTGATAAAATCGCTCAAATTCACCATGTCGCTGCCCAAACAACCCGATCTATCTTCCACCAATCAGTCAGTTCGCACGGCGTTTCAGCGAAGCACGAAGGAGGCGACAACCGCTGTGACGCTGTTTGAAATTCAAAGAATTGCTGCGGATGCGGATGGCTTTCCCGGGATGACCATGGGGGCTGAATTTATAGGGTATCTCCCCATCCCATGGTTGCGACAAGAGAAAGACACATCGCTTTTTTCCCGCAAAAATGGCCATTTGTCCGGGCGGATCCCCCTATTTTGAGAAACCAACTGGGGTTGACCATACCACTACCGAAAAAAAAAGTTCATCAGCCAGCTGTCTTTGCAAAGCTCATGCACCAAGCCCCGAAGGCTCAGAAGGATCTTGCGAATCCATAGGTTTTCCATACCACTGCCATAGGTTTTCCCACAGAATGGCTACCCCAAATCCCGCAGGTTCATCATGGTGTTCCTCATGTCCCCATGTCTTCACCTCCAATACACTAACATAGCTATTTATTTATAGATGATTATTCATTAAACATGATGCTTGTCCACAACATGTTGTATGTTTACCAGATTGCAAAAATCACCATGTTTTCATACGGTAAATCACAGTGAAATCCCCATTTTGTTGAAGTTGACTCACCATGGTTTCAGCCAAGGGACCTGGAGCAAAGACTGTGAAGGAGCAGTTCAGAAGCCGCGGCAGTAGTACCTCTGGCAGCGGAATGATGTCCTTACCGCCATTTCAGTTATACCAAAAATCATCATGAATCACCAACTGTATTTTATACCAGCATATAATTTTAATGTATTTTATACCAGCCATATGTTTGAGTTGTACTTATCAAAACTGTTATTTAAGTTAGACGTACAAAAATCATAAGTTTTACAATAGCCATATCTTTTTAACAACAGCCAGCGTTTTTTTGGGGATTTTCCCTGGGCCAAGTCATCGGGCATAGTGCCGTTGCAACGACCACTTCACGACATTGGGTCAGTCACATGAAGCAAGTTTAATTTTGTTAGCTCAATGATGGGTTAGTTTATGTTAGTAAGTTCAATAAGTAATTCATATTGATATTGAATCGTTCACACTCACAATTGGGTCACAATTGCTGTGTTCAACCAATGTCTGGTTACTTCAGGAGCTCCGAACCACCCATACTATGAAATATTATTGTAAATTCATCGAAAATATGCAGGAAAGCTCTGTATAGTATAGATATCAAAAAAACATATCACATTCTGGAGTTGCTTGGCTGAATCTTCAGTACTTGTATCCTTGTACTCACAATTAATCTCTCTCGTAATCGAAACAGTTTTTGTGTACATACTCACCTCATTCTTCAAAGGCATGGCTCAAAGCTGTTTACCCAAAAAAGATTGGATGGTTGAGGACTGAAAGCTCATCTCAGCTGCGAGTGAGTCAACTGACCATTTAAGGCCCTTTTAAAGATGCTGAGCATCTGGGAAGATCTGAGACGAATAAAACTATCTGGGGCTTTCCAATCCATGGGGGTACCCCCAAATCATTTTTCATGAAATACCCTCTGGTTATGACTAACATAGCCATGGTATAGATGGCCCAAAGAAATAGATGGTTTACCTATTAAAAATGGTGATTTTCCATGGCTATGTTAAATAACCAGAGGGTAAACCAACCAACCATTGGGGTATCCCCCATGGAAATCCCCATGCTTTCAGGCTAGGGGTCACATGACGAAGCAACTCGCTGGCCTTGTCCTGGCAAAACATCCGGGTCCGTCCATTCCGTGCGGACCCAGTGGTGGTTTCCAATCCATGGGGGTAGCCCCCAAATCATCGAAATTAGACCATGACTTAGTATTGAAACAACCTAATGGTGACTTGGTGTACCCCCACGACTTAGGAAACCTCCGTTTTGATGTTGAGATCTGCATCCCCCCGCAGCTCACCTGCTTTGGCCCTGGCTGGCGCTCACCTGCACAAGTCGAGCCATCCAATTTTGGGGGTTCCCCACTTGGATGTACGGCCAAAAAAATATGGTATAGTGATATATAGTGGATAGTAAGCCAATTATATCTGGATCGTATCTCATAACTGACTTGTAACGATTATATGAACCCCCTTGTAATCCCATGACCCATGACCCTGATCATGAGCTCCCACTGGAACCCCTCAATTGAAAGGATCCAGATTTATCCGGGGATAATGATTTTATCATATCTTATCTAATCTAATTGCTGATGATTGCAGGGATGGGCGTGGAAAAATTCACCATTTAGTTTGATGTTTGATGATTTTTCCAGCAGTTTTCGGGGATTTCCATGGATTTCCCACATCCCTGGGCCTTGACGAGCACGCAGTGCCGCCGTGCTTCGTTCTGCCAAAGCGAAGACCTGCAGATCGATCGCGACATGTTGCGACCCACGAGCTGCAGGAAGGTCAAACCCCTGGTACCTGGTACTGTTCTCACCTCAATATCAATGGATTGGTTTTGTTGGGGAAAATCTTAACCGGAAACCATGGTTAAAATACCATCAAATTTTTAGGGGTTTCCGGTTAAAATTTTCCCATCATCCAATTCTATGACAATAGCTGAAACATGGGTATAACATTAGAGATTTTCTATCAATCGAGGTTTGTTTACACCAGGAACCTGACCTTCGCCTGCCCATGGTGATTTTATACCTCTTGTTTTTCACCGCAAGAAACGGGATAGAGATAGAACAGGCCAAAAGTGGCACGTTCATGTACAGTAGGCCCCAAAAGGATAGTTAAACACAGTTGAACTAGATATGTTTCACTGTTTTAGTAGGATTGTACCTTTTCTATCTATTTGGGAGTCACTATGAACCCTGCGTAAACCCAACTTAATCTAACCTCCTTGAAGTTGAACCCAAGAAACTGATTTCGACGATGGATGCAGATGGTACATCTTAAGGTTCGTATTTACCCTTTTTTCCAAACATTTGGGGGGCCAAACTCCAATTATTGTCTGATCATTTTTTTTTCTGCAAAGCAATCCAGGTTCGTCTCTGATCAGTTTTCTCTCCCAATGTTTTTTGATAATACATGGCATCTCCCCATCTTTTCCCGTGCTAGGGGCTCCAACCAAACTGCTGAAGCCGCTGTAGAGGATTTTGTCTAAATGCTCCACCTTTCACAGTCAATCCACACGTCATGGGGAAACGACGCTAGTTCTCATGGTTATCATATGCAATGGGGGTTTTGTGATTGGGTTTATTGTACTGTGGCTATTGCATGGAATTATCAATGATCCCATTTTTCTTGGTGTGTGTGTGTGTCAGTTCACATTGAATTCCTGTGGTCCTTAAACCAAATCTAGCAGCACCTGCGTTTCTGACGCTTCCCGCACCACTGCATCTTCAGGCCTCAGGTGACAACGGCCAAAGTCACGGACAAATGTCAAGAAGGGGATGTTCCCGTTGCTATTTCGGTTGACTAAGGTGGTATATAGATGTTATGTGTATATATGTATGCATACTATTGATATATATATATAATGTATATACAGTGTGCAGATATATATATATATATACTGTATATTAACATGTATAATATATATATATGGATCCTATGCCCCACACTTCCAACATGAAATATTTTGACAAACGCCAGCCGCGTTTGGATCGTCCAAACGCAGTCCTGGAAAAATGGATGCATCAATGCGAATGTCATAGGAAAATATAGGAAGTATGGGAACATCCCCAAACTAAGTGGAGGTTTATCATATTTTAATATGTTATATAGAAGAACTGGAAAAATATTGTACTTATAGATTATATTTATAAGTACGGAAGTTTGATAGATCATAAACGACCAACAGTAAGAATAACTTTTTGGTCAGTATCCCCACCCATGTCGCACCCAGGATCACCTTCCGCAGCCCTCCCGAAGCCCAAGTCGCGTTCGCAGCACTTGGACAGCTCCACTGAAGCTGTCGCTGCCTCCACTCCGTAGGTTTTGGGCTGAAAAATGTGGTCCTTCAGATTTCTTCAGCAACCTAGTGGATGTGTCAAAAACTTTCAAAAACCAGTATTACTACTATATTTATCCATGCTTGTGGGGAGTCTAACTCCCATTGATCACCTATCAAACTAGTCTTCACCAGGGTACCGTTGTTTGGTACCCGGGACCATATGGGATGGAATTGCTTACTCACCACTATTGGGAATTGGAAAATTGTTT